TTGTTTAAAAAATACTACAAAAACTTAGCTGTAGTGTAAAATCTTAGTCTGATGGTAAGTGAAGTAGCTATTACTAATACTCTAATTAGGGTTAATCTTACCGATTCTTTTTTAATGATAGAAGAGAAACAATGAAATGTTCCTCTGAATAAAGGCTTACTAGCATCTTGGGTCTGGAGATGGACCTAGAAAGGAGAACAATATGGAATTCTCAAACTAAAACACTTTCTTTCACTAAAAATTTTACAAAAGACAAAATGTATGCAATCTATGCTTGAGTTTCAAATACTGCTACTTTATTCTTCCAGAGAAAGATGTTATTGTGAGTGACAAGTTGTGTTTGACCGTTTCTACGGAAACGTATATCTTAGAAAACACCCATTTTCAATTAATTAAAACTCGTCTGTATTATATATATAGCCCAACCAACCTACTTTTTGGCCCACAAGGTTTCTGACAGACAGCAATATTGTCAGAGGTTGAAATATGCCTTAATAAACAGGGAAAGAATTAAATATTGTACAAAGGCCCATATTAATATGATTCGTTTAACCCTTTAAGAGACTTTTTATGAAACTTAAAATACAGTTATAACAGTGTTTATCCTAAGAGCGCGTCCAATTATATGGTTAAGCCACTGTTGTTTGACTATCACAAGGTATCGGTTATCAGTATAAAAATGAGAATGTCTCACGTTAACAGTCGTGTGATATATCATACAAATGAGAATTCTCGTGGTAACTTTGTCTGTCTGTTTGAGAGCAAAGCCACATGGGGCTATCTGCAACGTCCAACGCGTGGAATCGAACCCCGGATTTTACTATTGTTAGTCCTCTGTCCCATGTGGGGACCTCATGATAACAATGTGATGTTTACTCATCTTATTTTTCCCCGGTAGAGTGTTTTTAACAGCTTCCGTCCCTTAACTTAGTTCAACTTTGAAAATTTTGTATTTTCTTGAAATCAAAACATTTGGACATAAACGATGTACTTCTGAGTTTAAGTAACATAGTGTTTATTGTTTTCAATATTAATTTTATTTAAATTAAGTTAATTGTTTGTTTGTTTGTTTATAATTATGCACAAAGCTACACAAGGGCTATCTGTGCTCTGCCCACCACGGATATCGAAACCCGGTTTCTAGCGTTGTAAGTCCGCAGACATGCCGCTGTGCCACTGGGGGACCATTAAGTTAATACTAGTTAATACTGATACGGCGTTATTATGTTGATTTACTCAGAGCAAATAAAGTTCGTTCCTCGACATATAGAAAAGAAGCTGTAAAGAAAAAATGCTAAAACTAAAACCTTAGCTGAGTAATACACTTCAAAAACTAGAAAGTAAAATTCACTTAAACAAATTCGACAACAGTAATGTTTCAGAAAGTTAAAAATTGTCTTGTTAAAAACATGTTGAAAAGATACGGTATTCAGTTCAAAATTGTTACGACATAATTTCTAGTCCAATTAAGGAGCGGAATACATTCATCTTGTTTATGCATGTGTACGTCATCAGATGCAACTGAACAAAATGAGACCAGTTTGTACAACCTTCGCTACATAATATTTTTAATTAATATTTTGATCTCAATTATGATTTTTATTCGAATGCTCAAGCAAAGCTACACAAGGAGCTATCTGTGCATAGCTGTCCATAATTTGAAACGGGTAAGAGGGAAGGCAGTTTATGTACAGCACCCACCGCCAATCTTTATTCTACTAGCGAGATTTGACTGTCAATTTTATAGTGCACCCATAGCCTCACAAGTATGGAGCACGTTTTTTGCGGCAACGGACGCGAACCGTGAATCCATTGACAAGCAGTCCAGGCACGCTAAGCAATAGACAACACCTAACACACACAACTGCGCTATGAACTATGTGAATATTTTCAGTTCTTGGAAACATTAACTAATAAAACAAACTTTCTACATTACTGTCATGTTTGCCGTCTCAAAAGAATTAAAAATTTAATTCGTAAATAGTTGGCCTGGTCGTTGACTGGAACTTAAAACTTAGTCAATGTGTTGTTTTTCTAGGAAAGATAAGTTATAAACAGGAAGTGAGGGCATTTTAGTTTTATAAGATCGAATATCATCTATTTGAAAACTTGAAATCGACCAGAAGAAAAACCCACCGTGATGTGATTAAACATCTACATCTGGGACTTTAGTAGCCGTCATAGTTCATTTACTTGTACGTTTTTCCTATTTTAATACATCTTTTGGAAGAGAAGAAAACATTAAAGTAGATGCCTTGAACTTTAACTTTATCATGAGGGAAACTACGTTAATCTCGTTTATAATGCAAAGTTGAGGTATCATCATTAATCCGCAATAAAACATTATGTTTGTGAGAAGGCAAATAAAATTATGGAATTTTTGGAAAACACTTAAACGTAAGAACAGTTTGAAAACAGCACAGGTTGAATCGTATGATACCCGAATTATATTGGTGATTTATTTATTTAGTTCGCCCTTGTTTTATAATAGCAAATCAGATACAAAAATAGTCAATGATTCTTTTAAGTTTCCTCTCAAAGTAAAGTTGATATCAAATGTAAAAAAAAAACCTTGTTTCAAAACATCATAAGAACAACCATTACAAATTGTAAATATGTAGTTTAAGTATTTCTTTTTTCTTCTTTCTTTCCTGAATTTAGTAAAACAAACATTTGATAATTTTCTTCATAATAGTTTATTAATTTTCGTATAAACAATGTTACGTCCATTACAAATATTATTTGTCAATAATTCATTGCTGTGAAGTTTATTATAAATATATTTATGCGGTTTAATTTAACATAAACAGATCTCAGGCAGACAAGCCTAACGAGCTATCTCGAGCCCCTCCAGACTAACGGTTCCCAACATTTTATGCTGCGTACTCCCAGTCAGACCTTTCAGCCAGTGGCGTACCCCTGACCCATATAATTCTAAACAACTTAACAGGCCCCCCTCACGAGCTAATGGGGGACATTTTTGTTAAAAACAAAAAAAACTACCCAATCTAGTTTTTCTTAATCTGAACTGAAACTTTTTGAGATTTTTATTGGCTAAAAGAAGACATTTCCCGCACTCTTTTAGCGTTGGGGGTGCAAAAAGTGATTTGAAATGGTAAGGTGACTGAAATCCGTCAGCGCATCACGAATTTAACGGTCAAGCACAAGAAGCATGGAAGCATATGTATTCAAGAACAGTTTAGAACTACCTTGGTAGATGTTGTGCAGCAAGCCTGTAGCTGCTTACAAAGTGTTCTACTCTGTTCATCCTATTGCTGACTATCATGATGCTACGACCTTCCTTATCGAATGATAAGTGAAATCGTCCATATCTCAGTTGAAAGCTAAACATAAAAAGATAATAGCAGAAGCATAAAAGGTTGGCAATTGCTTAATTAATGATGCTGAGAATGTGGCTTTATTGATATATATACTGAATTTACTCCCAGCGGGCAGACCTTAGTACTAGCTAAAATGGAGACTTGAGGATGCTGTATTGCTCTTAAAAATTTTAACTTAACAAACGAAAACTTCTCTCGAATAAGAGACTCCAAAACCATCATCTTTGGAAGTTTCCGGATTGAGCTTACTTTTAATATTCAACAAATTGTAATGTAAAGACACCCCTTGACTCCTGAGGGACGTGTTAAAATTGGTTTCTTGCGTTAGACATACAGTCCTTTACTGACCACTAATAATTTAAAATACTGTTACGTATCTGCTTGTTTGTTAATTTCCGGTATGAATTCTTTCCGAGGAACTTCAGCGATACAAGTCCTCTCTTGATTAAAACTAGTTTATTCTTTCTCAATACAAACTTTGTAATACACAGAATTTCCACAGTCAGGACGTTTCTAAACTTAACTACTTTTATAATACACGCTATAAATCACAGTAATTCACACACTGTACTTCGGTGCCTACTCTTCTCTTGACTCAATTATCTATCTCTTCAATCCCGCTGGTTTTTCTCGCCAGGCTCATATACTAAAAAGAGGGTGTCTCGAATGCACTCGGGCCTTCATGATCATTCGAGAAACTCTAGCGCCATGCTCCCAGAGTCGCGTGACTTCCGCTGTCGTAACAATGTTTGTAAGCAATGTACCCTCATCTCCAAATATTAGAGGAAGCTTCTCGATTATTGCGTCGTCATCATTAGCATCTTTCTCTAGCAAACATGTAATCTATAAAATGACAAGTATAGCTTACAAAAGTAGCACAGACTCATATAGTTTCAATTTACTCTTTCTGACTATAAGTTTACCTGAAAGTACCACACTTTTACCTGTGTAACAGGGACAGCACACGTTTACGACCTTGAGATATCCAATCAACGAGAATGTTATAACTACATGTACAAACTCCATGGAAATTTATAAAAAAAACAAAAACATTACATGAATATACCTTAATAAAAATGTATTCTATACAAGTTAAGGAAGGGTGAAATTCATGACTATTCCAGTCATTACAAAAGTAGACCAGAATAATTTAATTAAAATAATAATAAGGAAGAATATTGCGTTAATGGTAAGAACTGCCAACTTCAAACTTTATTTTGAAAAACACTGACAATACTAAAACAACGATATTGATTACTAAATAAAACTTGTGTTGATTTTTTTCACAACATAATTGCCCCCGGTGGCTCAGCGGAAATGTTATGATCTACAACCTATAATGCGGGTTTTGATCCCCTCTCAGATAGCCATTTGTGTAGTTTATGCTAAAATAATAAGCAAATAAATACAACTTTATTTTTTCATAAAAATACTTGATTTGTTACTCAAAGTTTTATCAATATATAGCTTAATTACTATATCGTCTCCAACTCTTGACACACAAAACATAGTTAAAATCAACAGTATTTCTGTTTGTGCTTACACCTGCTCTTATAAAATTGTCTGATGTCATGTCAATTACTCTGCGTTTATGGACTATACATACATTCTGTGGTGTAAGTAAACTGGAAGTTGTATATTTCCTGTTTAATGTGTGGTAACTGGTTGTGGGGGAATGAATGAGCGCCGCCTTGCGCATTTTAGAAAGGATAACTAATTGTGTTCTGTGTATGTCTTGTGAGGTTAACTATGGTTCTGCGGTAAGTTAATTTGTTTGGTTGCGTAAATTGTAAATGTATTTTATCAAAAATAATTATTCTTGTTATCTAAAGTTTGAGTTGTGAAACTGTAATAATTGTAAAGTTGAATGAGAAAATAGAGTAGTCGTGTTATTTTTTTAGCTGTTATATGTAAATAATGTAAAGCCTAAACTCGGTAAAACTAAGCAGAGCCAGAGGTAACGACGTTTAATTGGTACAGTGGTACTGGTAGTGGTATACAAATAATAAACTATAACTTTATAAGTATAATAAGAATAATAATACAACTCTGGCTATAGCCCAGTCTAGACCTTATTATTAAATTATATTTATAAATAGTCAATAAATATTAATAGCAATAGGCCAGTTAATAGTAATTTTAATTTAACTTATAAGTATAACCGTACTATGACTTCATTATAACCATATTGTAAAAACTGTACCTATAGCTGTAGTCTAAAGTATCTATTTCCTCAATCTCTTGCCGAGATATCTGTTACAAGTGTTGCCGTTTTAACAGTCTTAACACGTTTAGAACAAGTAAGCCTACTTTAAAACTAAAAGAACAATAACTGGATAAGCACAAGCATGTACTACTAGCTTGAATTTCATGTGCTCATTTTGCTTTTGTTTTATGAATTTTGTTACCCAAGACTAGAATTTTTAATCTGTCATACTGATTGGAGTGGTACAGGCCTAATTACTAGAAAAGACTAAATCTTAAGCTAAATAGTAGCTTTCTGTTATGTTCCTCATCATATTCTTTGTAGCAAATGTGGGAGGAACTGGCTAGATATGTAGCAGCAAATGTACACGTTTCTTGTACACTGTAGCTCATGTAACATGTGATGCCAGTCTTCCCAAAGCTAGGAAGGACCTTACACACAATGTCATGATGCTGTATATGAAATAATATAAAAAAAAGAAAAGATGTATAACTTCCTTTTCTGTCATTTTCAGTGGGTAGTATATGCACTTTTCAATCTATTTGTAGTTCAATCTCTTTTGATAATTAGATCTATCAGCTGAAGTGTTTTGACTTGAATGGCATTAGAATACTTAAATATTCAGAAAGTTGTGATATTAGTTGTACACGAAAATTGGGAAATGTACTATCACACATTATATAATTTAATTCGAAGAATAGTCTTTTGGTAGAAAATTAATGATTGAATGTAGTTAAATAAATTAGAAACTAATGTTTCATAGTTTTAGTTATCCTAAGTTGATTCACAATTAAAAAGTAGGGAAATATTATGGTACATACACATAATTATTCTTAAGTTGTAACCTTTTTATCAACCAATTCCAAGCCTTGAGTCAGATCACTTTAATAAGTATGGTGGGTTTAGAATTCAAGTTGTGGAGCAAGTATTTGACAAAAATTTATAAAGTCCAGAATCTAATTATAGGCTATAAACCTGCTAGAGTGTAACAATGAAGTTACTAATGTAAATACAATAATGCAATACTTGAACATAAGGTAACAAATGGTTAGATTGGGTAATTAATTCAGTTAGTTGATACAATTGATTACCTATCAGCATTGATTACATCTATTTGTGTTATGTAAAATAATTAATTAGTTAATATATTTCTATTTAATTGATTAATTTCACAAAATAACCAACTACTCAAAATATTGCCATTATGATATATCTTTAATCAGTTTTGATTAATTCAAGTTTTTCAGTTTAACTGTTTAGTATCATCCAATCAAAAATAGTGTTTCTGATTATTACTATATTTGATTATTACAACTATCCAAGGTTCATGTGATGATTAGTTGAATGTTATTGATTAATAAGTTCAATGATCAACTAATTATCAAATTCAACTAATCACCCAACTCTGCAAATAGGCATACAGCCTAACAAAATCTCCCTAGTTTTTCTGTACTCCAGATGAACAAGCGAGTTGAAATGAGTTAAAAGGTAATGTGGGACAGATTTGAAAATTAAAAAAAAAAAATGCTGGCATTTTTCTCAAATGAAGAAAAGCATAATGGGCAGGTTCAACAATAATTGGCTTACTAAAGACAAAAAGAAGAAAAATAGGAATAAATAAGTTCAAACTGACAGATAGTTTGGAAGATTTTCAGAACTGCAGGAAAGCTAGGAATTTGGTTAAAAAAGAAATTAATAAATTCAAACAGACTTGTGAGAAATGGCTAGCTTGAAATGTTAAAACTAACATTTGATTTGTTTAGTTATGTTAAAATGGGGATTGGGTCTTTAAAAGATGCAGATATCATGGATTTTATTGAAGACTATAAGGTAGTTGAGCTTTTGAATGTTTTCTTGTCTTCTGTTTTTACAAGAGAAGATAATAGCAACATTCCCAACACTGATAATTCTGTGGAAAATATTAGAATTGACCTGAATCATGCAGATATTAATCTTGATGGTAAGTAAAAAAGATTTAGAGATTTCAGATAAAGCATCAAGACCAGACAAGATTTTTCCCTGGGGTTTTAATACAAGAACTGCCAAGGCCATCAACTTGATGGTTTTTACTTTTAAAATTTAAATATCTTTCGTTTGTCTGGCAATTCTTGTGTTAAAGGAGGTAAAAAATCAGATCTTTCATAGTAAAAATCATAGGCTAGTTAATCTTATTTCTGTAGTGGGAAAAATTCCAGAGTCTGACAACAGAAGCCTTACAAAGTGAAATATAATATCATAAATGAAGGCTACATTGATTCACAAAAGAATAATCTTGTGTTATTATTGTTATTTTTTATGATGTTATTTGGAAAATGGAAAGACTGTAGATTTGGTGTACTTGGATTTTTAAAAAAAAGCTATTAAGGTACTACACAAAATAAAACTACATCAATAATAGTCGGGGAAAGACTTGTTAATAGGATTGTAGGGTAGTTGGATGATATTGATAGAGTCATAATTATTAAAGTTTGTTGATGACATTAAACTCTTGGATATTTCTAGTTGTATTGACAATGTTAGGGTATTACAGAGTGTTTTGAATCAGTTGGTAAGTTTTTACAAATATTTGTCAAATTACCTTTAATTATAGTACATGTAAGTGCAAGGTAATGCATTCAGGTTACAATAATTTGTATGAAACTTTGAATATAGATGTAACCCACTCAGTAACACTTAGTATAGTGGTAGATAAGTCACTCAAACTGTCAAAGCAGTGCTCTTTTGCTATTAGTAAAGCTAATAGAATTATATATAGACATTTTGATTACAAGTCAAAAGAAGCAATTATAAAAATCACTGGACCTCACTTAGAATATTGTTAGTTTTCATCTCCTTATATAAGAAAGGATATTGACTTATTAGAAAGGATTCATAAGAAGGCTAACAATAATTCTATGGATAGAAGCATTATCTTATAAGGATGGATTAAGGTCTATTAAATTCTTCTCTGATCAGAATTTTGCAAGTTTACCTAAGAGGTTGATAGGTTAAAGACCCTGATCAAATTTATTTTAAAAACTTGAAGAACTTCAAAAATACTTAATAGGAGCTTTAACTGTTGTTTCCAGAGCTCTTTTGAAAGTGGAGAAATGGTATTTTTTTTTTCTTTTGTAAATAAATCAGTCTTATGAGGATGCAAAATATCTTTGGTTTTTATTTGGGCTTTTCTTGTTAACCAAGTGTTGGAATCTGTTATCGGAAGTCATTTAGATAAATACTTAGAAAACTGGAATTTATATTTTTCAACATAGCTTGGAAAGGTTTTTCCTTTTTTTGTTATGTTATGACTCATCCTTATGTAATGAAGAAATCCTGGTTAAATGTTGTATACATTGTATTTTAGAAAGACTAAAGATCAAATATAATTGTTAGCATGTAATGTGGTATAAGAATATAGATATCCTCAATGCAGTTCTAGATGACCCCAAATGCACATAAAATAACATACATATATGAAGTCACATTTGCATAACTAACTCAATATGAGCACCTGTTTAAATTAGGCTTAGATACATGTAGAAGTGAGAGGAAACCACTTGAAAATATAACCTGTAATATAACCTTTCCATCACAGGAATCATCCTCTGAACCCACTTCAATAAGTCATTATCCTTTCTTAGATAAAGAGACCAAAACTGTACACAATATTCTAAGTGAGACCTAACTACTGATTTGTCATGAGAGATAACTAATCATTTTTTTTCACTTATATATTTATAAATGCACCCTGAATGCAGTGGACTTCACTAATTTACTAATTATGAGCCAGTCAAATTCATTAATGTAAATAAGAAAGAGCAAAGGTCCAATCGCTGGTCTGTGAGATAATCCACTACCAGCAAGGGTCCAGTTTGACTTGACTCCATTAATAGCAACCCTGAGCTTTTTCCCTTTCAACCATTTTACAATTCAATTAAATAGTCTTTTTCTAACCCCTACTGATGAGCTTTTCTTCTTTTATCAGATTATCTAGAATGTTTTTCACTGTGGAAGTAATGCTAACTGGCCTATAATTTTTAGGGCAACTCTTATGATCCACTTTAAAAGTTGAAATAACATAAATTCTTCATTCCTCAGGCACTTTTCCACTCTACTGTCCTACCAGAAATGAAAGACAGAGGGTCTCATGTCTGTTTTTTGACCTCCCATAAAACAGTGGGGAAATCTTGTCTGGTCCTTATGCTTTATTGACTTTTGATCTCTCAATCTTTATACTTACCACTAAGGATTAATATCTACATGATTCAGGTCAATTTTAATACTTCCCGTAGAATTCTCGGGACCAGTAATATTTCTAATATCTTTTCCTGTACAAACAGAAGGGAAGAAAACATTTAAAAGCTCAGTTATCTCATAGGCTTTAACAACAACCTTGCAAACAGTATCCTTTAAGGGCCCAATCCTTGTTCTAAAATTTTGCCTACCTTTAATATATCAGTATGTAAAAATGGTTGTTAGTTTTAACTTTATCAGCAAGCTGTTTCTCATAAGCCTTTTTGAATTTCTTTGTTTTATTTTTAACCAAATCTCTAGTTTTCTTATATTCTATAAATCTTCCAAATTATCTGTCAATTTAAAAATCTTGAACTTGTGGCATTTAATTCTAATTTTATTTTTTCATTAACTTTTTATCAGAAGTTAATAATTCTTTAGTAGATAATTTAGGCAGTGCCTTTGTGATGAAACAAAGGTGAAAATGGCCACTAACTATTTTATCATAGCTAGCAGTAAAATTCTGCTATCAATGTAAAGCAGATGGTACTCATTTTCACCTTTGTTTCATGAGGATAATGATATTAAATGTGACTTAGGATTGTCCCTTAGGAGTTGTGAAAGAAAAGTCAAAATGATTGTTTGTACGAATTGGATTGAAAGATTATGAGAAATGTAAAAAATTTGAAGTGCTTGGGTTGAGGTTTTTGGTTAAAAAATTGCCTATTGGCATTTCCTAAAGGTATATGTATTAGCAGATTAGTTTTACTGTCAGTAACCTTATGGAAAACAGGTAGGTAATTAGTATAATTACTATTTTTATATTTTTAAGAATTTTAATTTGCTATTTTTGATTGACATAAGAATGTTTCTTTATTTATCAGGTATTTAGTCAAAAATAGTATATTTAGTATGTTTTCTGATCAAACGTGCTCTTGTGTTCATACAGATAGTAAAATGTGTTTAGTCACTGATAATGACATTTTGACAAAATGAAAGTATGCAATTTTTCCTGAGTGAATTGTATTATTTTTCTTTTTTCAGGGTGTGGATGTGTCCATGTAGTCTTGCACCAATCATGCTTTGGGTTTCAGAAAATTTAATGCTGTTTGAACTGAGACCTGTTTAGTTATTGAAAGATAGTATAAATTCTTGCATGTAGTTTACCTAAACAAGCTAATCTATGTTGCTTTATTTTTTCATTTACAAGTGATCTCTTGTAGTTCCATATCTTTAGAAGCATTTTTTAATCACATACATTCTTATTTGGTTATTATTGATTGGAAATTATTGTAGATGTATGCTAATGTTTGAGAAACATTTTTTGTTGTGTTGTTAGTAAACAGTGAAGAATCGATTGTATTTTGATAGTTTTTCAATCATGTTATTTTAAGTACGGCATATTTTGTGAACTCTTAATCTGTAACAGTAATAATAGTAATAAAGAAGTAGCCCAAAATGGCCCCAGGTCCAGAGGAAAGAACAAAACAACTGGAAAAACTTTTTCTCGAAGGATGTTTTATTGCAAATGGGACTAGTTATAGCATAGAAATATTATTGGATGTCCTGTTAGTGCTGTACGATGAATGCTGTAGTTCATCACTGAGACGAGAAAAAACATTTTCACAGTTTGTTGAACATGGTAAGAAACATTTTTTTATTTATGCATCTAATATTATGGTCAACATCGTAGATGGTCTGAATGCATTTTTCGATGAATTTACTTTGCATGTGTGTATTACAAATCTAAAACTGAACAGACAGTTTCTTAAAAATATTATTGCACTGCTAATTTACAAAAAATTAAAAACCATATTTCCCTGTACAAAATGTGTAGTAAAAAAAGGTCAATGTATGTGATTTGATCTGTTCATTTTTAATACCTACTCCACTGAAGATGGACAGAGGTTATGTTTTCATCCCAGTGTGTGTGCGTGTTTGTCAGCAAGATTTCTCAAATGGCTCAATGAATTTGGACGGAAGTAGGTATATACATTTGAACTATGACCCAACTTAAAAGTGATTAGTTTTTGGAGGGTCAAGGTCATGAAAAAAAATCTATGTGTTAACATGGGGACTGATTTTTCACACTATTTTTGCTCTATAATTCAGTCAACAATTATCTGATTTTGTTGAAACTTGATGGACAGATGTAGAATGTTATTCCTCATTATCCTGCCAAAAGTGATCTGTCTGTTGATAACAATGGACATAAAGACACATTTTGATATTTTTTGAGAGCCAAGTATGATCAATGCTGTGTGTCGGAGGTGTGCTCTCTACTGAGTGCCCATGTCATTTCTATTAGATTTTATCTTTATTTTATTAAAAATCATATAGGCCTGCACAAAATTATAAACTACATGTTCAGTGAAAAAGAGTATGTGTGACTTGTGCTTTTTTATATCTCGGTTTTGCCCTCTTTTAATTAGCTGTGTATGACTTAACCAGAGCATGTTTGCTAAACCATCTTGGTTAAATCCAATATTTTATTGTATTTCCTACACATTTGTCAGAATACAACTTATGACAAAGAAAGACATACTTATGAAGATACAGTAAGTTTTGTAAGGTTAATGGGAGTGATATTTCGCTGAAACTTGGCTTCTGGCTAGCATTTCTTTTAGTGCAGTTTCATTGAGAACACAGTTTTTTCTCCAAATTCACTTATATCAGTCATTTCAAACTTCATACAAATGGCAGAAATGTCAGTTACAAAGCTGATGTGCAAGGTCACAAAATGATCATAATGTTACCAGTACAGCAGGTGTGGATATTATCATAATGGAATGTCCAGGCCCAAAAAGGCAATCTATAAGAGAAGTTTGAGAAGGTTTATCTGACAGATAATGATGCATGTAAATGCCCGAAACAAAAAACAACATCCACATACAAACCAGATATTTTCAAGGAGGTTCCAGAAGAGGTCTCTAATAACAAAAAGAGGTATGTGAGGAAGGACGATAGAGGGAAGACAATAAACAGTGTTGGTGAGCAGCATGCATTGTTTTGACAATTGACCATCACACAAAGTTGCTTATGTTTGGCAGTGTGTAACTCTTCACCTGTACTGCCTTTACCATTTCCAACTGCACAAAATGCTTGGCAGGTCGTGCCCTATCCATCCATGTATGTTTATTATGCTTTTCCAGATATAACAGACTTACCAAATTACTGTAATTTTCTCTGGTGAAGTTATAAAAAAATTATGTTGATTCAATTCATACATAATAATGAAGTAATTTTAAAATATGCAGGGGAACTTGAATGACTGTTGCTGGTTCTGATGATCATCAGTCATAGTATTTGAAATACATAAGGGTCAGAATTAAGAACATTTCTTTTTTGAAGCCAAAATAATGTTCAAAATGCTAATTAACTAAAAACACTTAGCTCACCATTATTCTGATCAATTTTTATGAAATATGCAGTAAGTTTTCATTTTGTGACATCAAATTTCTCTTTTATGTGTTATAATATATAATACTGTCATGCTATTATAGATAAATGAAAATGGAGCCTCATTATAATATTTGTTTGTAACTTAAAAGCTAGAGTGAGCTATGGATTGTAAAATTTTTTCAGGCTTAACTGTTTATTGAGATAAAATTAGTAAACATTTAGTACGGTAACAAAATTAGAATTAAAAAAAAATTGAATCATATGCATGTGTTTTCATAGTTTTATGTTTATTTAGTTTTGCTAATTCTATGACTTAGCTTGCATTGGTGTTTTGTAGTTACACATGTAAGTAAATTATTTCATGCCATCACCTGGTGGATCAGCAGTAAGTTTGTGAACTTACATTGCTAAAATCTGGGGTTTGATTCTTGATGGTAGACAGAGTGTACAAATAGCCTATTGTGTACTTTGTGCTTAAAGAACAATAAATCATGCTATGCTATCAGTCATTTCTATAAGAAAACAGTTTTTTAATTTCATTAAGCTATAATGTTTCAGTCATTTAATTATAAAAATAGAACTTGAGAAGCATTGTGAAGAAAACTAGAAAAAAAAACATTCCAAGTCATCATAAGAAAGTGAAATGCACTTTAGATATATATGTCAGTAATTAAGAAAATTGTCTTTTTTTGTTATAATTTTATATAATATTAAAATAAGCACACTACTTGTTTGTGAATAATTAGAAAAAATGTAAGTGAAAAGAAAAGGATAGGGAGATTTGTAGAGCATGTAGACTTGCTTTATTTCCTTGTGAAAATATGATTAGCTGTTAGAAGTGTAACTTACATTGAGGCAACCAAGTCATTTGCCTGAGAAAAAATTTGCAGAAAAATCAAGAAAAATAAGTATTTGTGTATGTGTGAAACAAGAATAGTGTTACTTCTTAATCTTGTTTTCAGAAAGTAACACTTATTGTACTTATCCTAGAGAATTTGTTTGCCCATTAATGGTTTTTAATTAGCTTCAGGTGTAAAACTTCTGATTGTCACAAGATTCAAAAGTAGAAATAATGATTGTAAAAAAATGGTTAAAACTGACAAATTTGTTCAGTAACATCCATGTTTTAGACAAATTTGTTGCAACTGGACACAGAAAAATCAATCTTTTGCAACTCTAATGAATTGTAAAACAAACATAAATATGTTATTAGTTTCTTCGGTCTTTCTTCTCTGTTTGGTTATATGCGAAATCTCTGTACTGGATATGAAGTCTTGAACTGATCATAGACTTATGTCAGTTTAAATCTTAGTATTGTTTTTACGTTTCTGAAGCAGCTTGTTAGGTTATTTTGTAGCTGGTAAATTTTTATAGTACTTTGCACGCAAAGTTATGTATTATGAAGTCATCTGAAATTGCTCCAAATTACATTCAAAATGCTTAAAATCGAATTTGGATGGGGACTGTGCCCCTGTCTGTTGGAGAATAAAAGTTCAAGTACAATAACGTGTTTATACCAAACAGTCAAGTGCTTTGTGTTCCTGATTTTTGTTCTTTATATCTCTGTACCCATAGAAATGTCAGTTTAGGTGTCTCAAAATATTGAGCTTTGATATAGTTTATTTTCTTGTTTGTTGCTTTACTTAAAAGATCTTGCACTTCATTATCAGGAAGCTATTCATAGCTCAGCCATGTTGACATTTTTTGTAAATTTATTTAACTGCACCACTTTTCAGCTCAAATGCTTACTTTCACATCTTTTCAAATTTTCATTGTTCATTAAAATATTTTATTTTTGTTTCCTTATTTCACTTCATTTATTTCAGCTGTCAATCATATTGTTTTTAAGTATTCTTTTATACCATATCTCTATCAAGGATGATGACTTTTTTCATTTAAAATGTATTCTCCCCTTGTTGATATGATTTCTTAATCATATAAATAGAAGGAAGTTAGGGAATGAAATGATGTCATAAAACACTTCATATAATAATATGTTTAGTACTATACATTTTGGCTTTTGTGAAGTAGAGAAAGTTCTATGCTATGTTTATGCTTCTTGTTGAATCATGGGCTTGGAAAAAGCCTTAGGACCTTTACAGGAAGTCTGAAATTGTGTACTTGCAGAGATGTATTTGTTTTTGTTGCAAAAATTATTTGAGATTACACACATTCATACAAAAGTACTGTTGTTTTGTTATTTGCTTGAATTCTAATTAAAACATAACCATGAGCAGTTGTCGTGAAAAATACAAAAGCTTGAGTTTTCTAAATCTGTGTCAGGTTTCTTTGAAACTTGTTTGTTCCTAATTAGTACAACATATATGTAATATACTGTGTAAAACAGAAAGTAATTGGAATTTAAGTTCATATGATGGGTAATTTTGCTAACTTTGCAGCAAAATAATGTATCTGTAGTAGAGAATGCATTTGTACAGCATATTTCACATATTTATGTTCAATTAATTGTAATTAATATTATATTACTTTGGATTCGAATTACATTGTTTAAATATGTCTCTCCATTTGGTGTAGTAATGATAAATAGTTCCTTTGAAAGAACCTACAGTAAAGTGTACAAATATATTTATCAAAATTATCTGTTTTTGTCACACATCTTAAGTTACTTTTCCAAGTAACTTACTATTAGAAACTTTAATTGTATTACATTTTTTAATTTATATTTTCTGTGTAAGAAAAAAGATTATGAGAATTCTGCTTGTAAAAAATCAGTTCTTAATGCAAAACTTTTATTCAAATTGGAAATGAAGCACTTTCTACTAGAAAAACTTAATGTTGCTGAGAAAATTGTCAAATGTCTTGCAGATTATAATGAAAAATTTTTTGTAATACTGTTTTTGAATATTTGTAATTAACTCATTCATTATGGCTTGTACTTGTTTTTTTCTGTTCACTGCATCAACCCATCAGTCAATGCTATCTAGTAAGTCCTCAAAATAATCTGTATCTTCCCCTGCTTTGGTGGTGCTTGCTGCTGCAGCAGTGAGATGTTGCTGTACAGGCTTCTCTGACATCTTGAGGGAAACTGATGCACAGAATGTGGAAATAATTGGTTTGCAGTATGACAACATATATAGCAGAATGTTGATGGACAACATTATAGCACAAATTTAAGATCCAACACCCTGTGCAGGAATTTTAAATGCAATAATCCATAAGTGTACTAGCTGCAGTGAACAGAAAAAAATGTAGGGGTCATATATCTATTAGCTGCAGTGA